CATAACTGAAAGCAACTGAATTCATACATAGCTGTATTTATTGAAATGACTTTTGGAGGTGTTGCCATGAAAACAAATACTGGACAGAAATATTGCTATTACTGGCGTGGACACACTGACAAAAAGATCTTAGGATTCATCAAACTTAAAATTGTCATGATGGGTTTAAGGTTCTTAGCCCACATGCAGAACACAACGGAGGCTGGGTAAAAGTTTAACAGAGTTTATTGAGTGATTCACAAAACACAAGATCATGAACTGGATCAGGAACTGGTCCTGGCTGGTTCACTGAAGTCTGCAGAGATGATAGTTTGATTAGAAGGCAGGCAGATGAGTTATGAGTCTTTGATAAATCAAGAGGATACCTTGACTGAGTCCGGGCTTCACTTTGAGAGAGAGAGGGAACCGTTGGGTCCAGAGACTGTTTGTTCAGCAGAGTCCAAGAGCAGCTACAGCGTCTAGCTTCTAACTTTTATGGCAGACCTTGATCAGAGTTTCCAGCTCTTCACTAAGCGCAGCAAAGAGGCAAAGAGGCAAAAACAGAGGAGAATTAGAATCAGATCTCTCTCAAGAGACAACTAAGATTCTTCAGGTTCAAGGCTCAGGTTGCTAACCAAACTAAGATCAACACTGCGGCGTCAAAGCAAGGTTTGGCAGCTGGTTATAAAGGGAAGGTCTCTTGATGAGTAGATGCGTCTCAGGTGTGCTGGAAGACTCCAGCTCCAGGAGACCCACGGCGCACTCTGCTGGAGGAAGGTGCTACAGCTCCAGATCCCAACAAAAATAACAAAATAAGGATAATCAGTGCCGTTTACATGGTCTCAGTGGTCCTTTAAACCAATGAAATGAAAACATTCAAATGTATATTTCCCCTTTTGCAAATTACGTGCATCATATAAATTTCATTTTTACCTTCTTTGTTTTTAAAGCCTAAATGCATCCAAGCATCTGACTTGAAATGTGATGGAGCCGCGGGGCGAATTTTCATAGTGTCCTCCATGTTTTATTTCATATGACTCGTCTCAGTATCCCATGGCTGGACATGCTTGTGACACAAAGCAGCGGGCGTCAACACATCCGCAGCGACATCTGCTGGACTGGAAGTTGTATTCCACTTGGTTTGGCTAATGTGCGCCAAAAATTCATGTATTTTATTTGTTCATTTATTTTATTCTATTTTTTAATAACCGATTCTTGCCTTCAAGAATCGATGCAGTAGATCACAAAAATTAGAATCGCGATGCATCGTCATGACGATTATTTTGCACACCCTTATGCAGCAGTCTGTCACTGAAGGAGCTATCCAGTTCAGTGCCAGCTTCATGCACGGTGTGGGAGACATTATTTAACAGAGATTATCATTTAGTTAGGATCCTTTTGCTTCCCACAGGCTTCCAATCACAGAGCTGCATTTCCTGAAAATGAAGCCGAAGCTCCATAGAAGATGACTGATGCCACAACAGAGTCGTAGAAGGTCTTTAGGAGAGACTCCTGCACTGAAAATACCTCAGTATCCTCAGCAGGAGGAGTCTGCTCTGACCTTTCTTATACAGAGCCTTACATAAATTTCTGCTCATCTTGATCAATCACACTGTGGATATATTTGGACATGTTCTGTTTAAATGTTTATACCTCAATATGAACCATTTCTCGGCTCACTAAAGTTTTTAAAAAGTAAAACATATATTTGTGCCACTGTAGCAGGAACATTAGAGTACCTGAACTTGTACGACGGTAGAATATAAAGCTCGAGAATGGATGGAGATGTTTGAGCAGCCAAAGCAGGTAGTGAGAGAGATAAAAGATGGCATACTGTATCCATATTGCATGAAACTTAGACATGTACATTGCTTAACCATCAGCTTACCTCCCATATACGGCCTGGGGAATTGTATTGATTTATCTGCAATGCCAGCTCTGTCTGTCTCCCTGACTGTCTGCAATGTGTCTCTCTCTTATCGCCATGTAGGAAACACAAACAGTGTTTTTGCCCTGGACTACATCAGCGGCTCCCTGACAGTGAACGGCCAGCTGGACAGAGAAAACCCTCTCTACTCAGCAGGATTCACTCTCACTGTCAAGGTGAGCGGCTCAGGAATGGAGGGCTGTGAGCCCAGAGAGCAGATCGAAACTCTCTCACAACAGGATCAAGAGCTTTTGATATGTTAGTGCAATAAATCAATGCAGCTTCTGGACTTGATACAGTCTCAAAAGACTCGCTGGCTGGAGTACCGCTGTCCTGGATCACACTGTGTGCTTCATGAGGTTTCCAGGTGGTTACAACATGATCAGAAAGAATATCAAGATCAATGAACCGCTCAACAATTATTCAAAGAGGTGTCTTTATTAACTCATCAACACTTTATCCGTTCATTTATTTTCTTTTTGATACAAACAGGAAATCAACTTAGTGACAGAGGTTTCTTGTAACAAAGTACAAATACTTTCTTAAATAGAAATGTTTGCTATATATACTTAACTGGAGTAATTATTTTTTAGGCAACTAATTCTTACATTTTTTGCAATTATCTCTACTTTCTACTCATTTTAAAAATAGACTCGTTAATTTTCTTCTTTTTTCTTTGTGGTTGGACTCGGTGCTGCCCCAACTTGTTGTTCAACACACGCCAAAATAAATAATCCTTAAATTTGACACTGTTGCCATTAGTTATAACGCTAAGAAAATTAAGTATAAGAAACTTATAAATCAAGTTATAAATAACATTTTTCCTGCATTACTCTTACTTTTATACTTAAAGTAATTTAAAAATGGTACTTTTACACTTTTACTTGAGTAAAAATCTTAAGTTGACACTCTGACTTCTACAAAAGTATTTTGAAACATGAGGATTTATACGTCTACTTGAGTAATAAATATTAATACTTTAGACACCTCTGCATAGTATCAGAAGGAGGATTTTAAAATGCAAGTGTGTTTGATGCAAAATAAGGCAAAAACTGCTTATTTGTTAAGATGTTCTCCCATGATGCTCTTGATCAGAAAAAGAGAAAACATTCAGTTAATGTCAGAGAACAATGGGCATCCTGATTTCAAGGGATGCAAACTAAATAGCCAACCTGAAAACATTTGGTTTCTATCACTGAGAAGACCATCTCTGAACACACCCTGGATATTAGCAGAATACCTTATTTTGTGCCATTTGGAGGCCATTTTTTATTTTCCTGGTTTCAAGTAATTGAATATTTGAAACATCCAAATAACTGTTTAAATATCTGATGTTTATTATGACATCACCTTTTCAGATGATCCGGATCCCTGGTATGAAAAACAATATAGTACCTTGAAGTAAGACATATATATGTGTATACACTCACCGGCCACTTTATTAGGTACCCCATGCTAGTAACGGGTTGGACCCCCTTTTGCTTTCAGAACTGCCTCAATTCTTGGTGGCATAGATTCAACAAGGTGCTGGAAGCATTCCTCAGGGAGTTTGCTCCATATTGACATGATGGCATCACACAGTTGCC